CGTCAAACGCTTACGCTTACACTGGAAGCATTGTATCAATCAAGTCGACTTTTTTCATTGTAACGCAAGAACTAATATCCTTCAGAAAACTTGGCCTGTGGCATTCAACTTGCATGTAGATTAGTGGCTCCTTGATTGTCTAATAAAATGACCTCCAAAATATAAATCCGGACTCAACTCGAGCCAATAAAAATGGGCATCACGTCTCCGATTGGCAGGAAAGGCGTGCGTACTTCGAAGTAAGGCAGCCAACCACCATCAAGTATTTGCACCCGAAGAAAAAGTAGGCCTTAAGTTCCGTAGATCCCTGTATACCTGTGAGCTCCGAGATTGAGCGCAGTGTTGTGCGTTGGGCGAGTGGTACTCGCAATATCTTTGCTTTGACCTGCTCGGCGGTATAGGCCCTCTTCCTACCCACCCGACCCTTCTTTCTGCTCGCAACCGAAACTTTGATGTTGCCGGTGGTAACCCCTTGGCGAATGGTGGAATGATGGCAGTTGTACTTCTCCGCAAGCACCTGCGCAATGCCGTTGGGCAATCTGGCCAACTAGGTCTTTCTGCTGTTCAGCAGAATCTCCCGAAGGATGGCCTCGCGGTCATCGTTCGTCAGGTCATGCTTTTTGACACGCATTGCGAATGTTGATCACTATTTTATATGATTTAAAGTATGTGGACGACTTCTGCGATGGTTGTTGTGTATTTTTCCCTCGCTGACGCATGACTTGACAGGACTTGGCGCGCTTGTTCACATAAACCAATCAAACACGAGAAATTCGACGATGGGCAGACGAAAGATAAGTTTGAAAATCACTTGAAAATATAATGACGTGTCATTTCCCCCCTCCCGGAAACTACACAAGTATTTTGGGACGGAGTATCTCTTTATTATCAGTAGTATTTATTTCAATCTTCCAAAATAGCTCCAATAAAACCCACTACTGTATGAAAGTGTGTTTTCCCCGCTTCGTACGATTTGCAACGTCATTTCACCAATAGGAAGTCTACATACAGCATTTAGGATCGGTTTAGCCCAGTGTGACTTTGTCAACTCACGATTCGACGACGATCGACAGATCCACACTGACCACACAAGCAATTTTACTGTTAAATTTGTGTATAGTATGCAAGGTCGTAGTGGTGTGCATTATTTGGTCATCATAATCGCATATTCGTCCGAATTGAATCATGGCGAGTCTGCTTCGTTGGTTGATCGTTCTTGTGTTCTTGGTGCTTCAAGGCGCCTGCGAGCTGCCCAAAGACCTCCGCGTGCGTCGCGAGATGGTGCCCGTGGGCCAGCCCCACCGCGACGCGAGCGGTAGGATGGTGCAGGACACGGCGGAGCGCATCACAGTGGTGGACCCCGAAGAAGAGCAGGAGAACCGCGAGAAGGAAGCGAGTGGCCAAGTGACCAAAGGCGGCAAGTTCAAGGCGCGTCGGCAGTTCATCTTTACGGGTCTGGCGTTGCTGGCCAAGGGAATCGCTGTGGGCGTGAAGGTGGCCAAGGTGGCGGCGGTGGGAGCCAAGGCGGTCAAGGCGGGCGCGGGTGTCGCCAAGATGGGCAAAGTGGCGGCGGGCGCAGGCAAGGTCGCCGCCAAGGCCAAGAAGGCGGGAGCGGTGCTCAATAAGGCCCAGAACGTGGTCAATAAGGTGCACAAGGTGGCCAACGGTGTGCGAAATGGAGTCCACCAAGCGCGAAACGTCGCCCAACACTTGCGCCGACGGCGCCCGTAGGACCTTTTGTATCGTAGAATTGGGCACTCAGTACGACACTGCCTCTGTTTATTGACATGGATGTACTAACGTTACATAGTTAGTATTCATACCAGCAGTAACTGTTAATACTGTAGTTAGTGTACTATATCGACAGAAGGATTTAGCCAATCAGATTACAGGAAACCAGAGTCAATATCTGATTAGTGTGTGACTTCAATTAGTGTGATTACATTTTAAGGGTAAAAGGGCAATATTAACAGGTCAAATGATTATGATATACAGACCCTGGTGCTTGTTAATACACGACTAATGTTATTGATTCCCTGTGTTTAAGAACACCATGTGAACTAAAGCGGCATGTGGCGGGGCAATTCCTTGGGTTTACGGACGTCATCACGACAGGATCTTCTCGCGCTTCATGGTACGTTCGTCGAACTTGACCAAGAAGACTGTCTTTTCCCCACCGCCCGCGATTTCGACGGTGTGGGCGTCCACTTCGCAATACTATTTCCATGCATCAAGTTAGATGCGACGTTGATCGGGCGACGAGACGTACAAAGCCTCCCGAGTCGAGGATGCCGCGAATGACCCCCGCGGTGTACGCCGCGCAGTTGAGCTGGCCCATGTCTGTGGGTACGGAAATGTACTTGTTCGTCAACGGCGCGTTCTCGTGGATCATGTCTACATGCAGAAACGTGCCATGACAAGAAAGTGCAGCATCATCAGCTCGTCGTTATTACATTCGTTTTCGTTCCCGGTGCTGCGTTCCAGCGCATCCGCGGGTTTCCCGAACAGTGTCTTCCAACACACAGACACGACAAACTGGAGCATGTTGATGAGGCGGGTTTCCCGGCGCAGTTTGTCCCTGGGAGGAAGAAGCAAGCATTGGGATGAGGAAACGCAAGAAGGCAGACACGTACTTGGACACGTTTCCGTTCATGTCGCGGTAGCTCAGGAGCTCCAACACTCGCACGCCGACGCCATACCCTGCGGCCTCGAGCTTGCGTTCCAAGTCGCTGATGTTGAGCACCCGGCCTTGGAAGTACTGGACGAATTCGCAGAAGAGGAACGAGAACGCGCTCTCGCTGACCTCCGTCTTTCCCCTACCCAGTGGTCGATCCAAGTGGCTCTTCTTGTTGAGTCTTGTGGTCGCCGCCGCCGCCGCTTGCCGTTGTTGCATCCTTCGGTGGAGGTATTAAATGCACCAGGTTTTGTATAAAATTAAAGAGTTCCTCCATCGAGATTTGGTCGTCTATTTTGGGGCGACAGAAATAGGCCCAACGGTACTAAAATCTTCAGTGGGTGCGTCCGGATAATATCCGGTAACCCAAGATCTCGGGGTTTCACGATTGCCAGAACGGATTTGTGAATGACAGCCATGGAGGTGGTTTCGAGCGGCGCGGCGGTGCTCCACGGGTTCTTTGCCGCTGCGGGCTTCGTCCTGCTCTACTTCTCCTATAAATACGCGCGCAAGTACTACAACCAAGCTGCCTTCCTCCTGCCGGTACGTCCATCCTGCATGTATGTAGTATGCCTTCGATTCATCCATTCGACTGTATGCAACACGTAGCCGTTCGTGTGCATTTGCGTCATCTACGAGAACATGATCCTCGCGACCGTGGGTCTAGACAAGGACTACGACAGCGTCAAGGTCATGCTCGCGTTTCAGTGTACATTCCTACGTACTCCGTCTTATATGACTCTCACGTGCATGAGTGGTATAGCGTGCATCATTCCCGCGATGCTGCTCATCTGCTTTGAAGTCGCGTACCTCGTGCACAAGAACCGGTCGGTAAACTTTTGCGGCATTTCGTTCGACTCTGGACACCGCACCCACCGCGACGACTGCAAGTCGACCTTTCTTCGCTTCGCCATGTGGCTCGTGGGGCTCGGCCTGCTCACGCTCAAGCTGCTCGTGTACTACCGGTACTACGACGACATCGTGTTCACCTCGGGGTACGTGCTTCATCCTGTCCGTTTGAGTATTGCGTCGTCTTAGATGTGTGAATGTGGGCAGCATCTACGAAGTCAACGGATCCGCCACCGTCGGCACCGTCCTGACCATCATCCCGGCGTTCTCGCTGGTCGTGCTCGCCATCTACATCGGCATGCGGCTGTGGAACTACGGAAGCAACTACGCGTACACGGTGCACTCGACGTGCTTCAACCCGTGGATCTGGATGATGGTCGGTTCCTTCCTCCTCGCCGCGGGGTACCTCATGCCGGACCCGCTCTTCGCGCGCACGTCCAACGGTGGTGAAATCTGCATGCTTGCTGCTATTATCCGGATGTTCCGGGAAGTGCACAAGGATTTGCAGGAAGGGACCGAGATTGCGAATACACTGCTGGACGGGTCCGCGGCCGGCCTCCACGATCATGCCACGTCACCTCGAAGCATGCAAGACAGCAGTCCGTCCACGTCAGCCGCGTCATCGTCCCACGCCAAATATGACCTCATGGGATCTCCAAGACGGACGATGGAGGAGACGCGGCTCACGGACGCACACACGGACGCGTACTTGAGCGTCGTGATCGCTCGCACCAAGGAAGCTAGCACCAACCCCATGACGGTGGTGCCGCCCTGGAAACGGCATTCTAATGACGAGTTTGTGGACGTGGCGTTGAACGGTCCGTCGAGGCCGGTGCCGATGCTGCAGGAGCTCAAGCCCAAGCCCGGGTCCGTCCACCCGGTCGCGTCGACGGGTTTATTTGACGACATGCCGCTGATGGACTTCCCCCCTGCGTCGTTCTTTGGGAGCATGAATGAGGAGACGGAAGTGACGGTGTACGAGGCCACTCATGTGCCGCTGGACCTGCTCGCGGAAACGGACAGCGTCGCCATGTCACCGTCGGTGGAGGTCGTGTGCGACAGTGTTGATCCAGCACCTGTGTCACAGAACCAACCCAAAGTGATAGAAGCTGCAGAAGACGTCGACCGGTTGGCGTTGTCAGAGGTCATTGTGAAGGAGAATTCGTTGGAAGGAAGCGCGGATGTTGCAGTGACAGCGGTGGATGAGATTGAACAAGAGGCAAAGGTGGAGGAGCGAATCGACGAAGGAGTTGTCCGAGCTTTGGAGTTCATGGTGCATCAAGTCCAACAAGCTCATGCCGCGATGGACGAGCAACACATGGACACCTCATGGGAGCACGTCCCCGCCGAGCCAACCAGTCGGATGGACGAAGGACATGGCCACGTTCATGAGGACACTCCCTGTGGCTTTGACGAGTTGGAACTGTCCAGTCTCATGGAGGAGTCCACTGCCGAGGAAGAGGAACCGCCTCGTCCTTCAAGTTCAGAGCAGCATCCACCGTCAAGAGAAGAGATGGATCTGATGGACGTGATGTTCTCCATGACGGGCATGGAAGTCGAGGAAGAGGGGGACACCAGCATCATCGCCGTCTCGTCCTCGAGTCGTCCCGGCGGAGTAGATTACGACGATGCACAGTCGACAATGTAATTGCAAACAAAAGTGAGGGACATCGTGTCAAACGTGTGGATTTTGATACTTAGTTTTCGTACACCCACGTGTTGCGGGTGGCGTTCCATTCGGTGATGCCTTCAGGGAACCACAACGCGATTTCGTGGTTGGCGGATTCCACCGAGTCGGAGCCGTGGCAGATGTTGCGGCCGACTTCGACGGCGTAGTCGCCGCGGATGGTGCCGGGGGCCGAGTCGGAGGGCTTGGTGGCGCCGAGCATCTTGCGGCCTTCCTTGACCACGTTGAACCCTTGCCACACCATGGCGATCACGGGGCCCGAGTTCATGTACTCAATCAACCCGTTGAAGAAGCCCTTGCTGGACAAGTCGGCGTAGTGCGCTTCCAAGTGGGCCTTGCCGGGTTGGGTCAGCTTGAGGGCAACCAACTGGAATCCCTTCTGCTCGAAGCGCTTGATGATTTCACCCACGAGGTTGCGCTGGACGCCGTCCGGCTTGATCATGATGTACGTGCGTTCGGCCATGTTGAAAGGTGAAGGAAGATTCAAAAGTGAGGGATGATCGCCAGCCACTGGAAGCGAAGGATATACGGATACGTCTCCACATATCCGGATAAAAACGCTCCAAGATCGCGAAAAGTCAAAGCATCATGATCAGAACGGCGAGCATCCAAGCGCATGGAATGAAGTGGATGGCCAAGGGACTGCAGGAAGTAGGATGCCGCCGTTGGAAGGACGAGGCATGATGCGGTTCTCGGTCATCGCTCATGTCACTCTTCAATATCGACGTCGCCAACACTCATCAGACCTTCGCCCTCGAAGGTTATGTAAGTCATATCTACGATCACAAGACATCTACGATACTAGTATGAACATTATCTCAGTGTTATATAGTCAAAGCTCCCGTGCTACAGTCCTTGCAGAACCACGTGCCGGACGGCTGCTCCGTGAGGCCGACGCAGTCGAAGTGGAACCATTCGTACTTGCAGTCTTCGTTGTCGCATCCGATCATTTGGCCGTACGAAATGCGCCGGCAGTGGCAGTATAGCGGTTCGTTCGGGTCGATCGGCAGGTCTTCCAGCAACGGCAGGGCCACGGCGGCGGCCTCGGGGATCGCTTCCAGTTGGGCGTCGGCGGCGTTTCGCTTGCGGCCCCCTGACTTCTTCGTGACGGTGACGGGAGCGGCGGCAGACGACGCCGCACCAGACTTTTTGTTGGACGCCACAGCCACACTGACTTGAGTTGCAGGCTCGGCAGTCGATTCCTTTTGCTTCTTCACCGGAGCCACGACGACTCGCTCATCCTCGTACTCCCCGTTCGCCTTGAGCAGTGCTGTGTAATTCTCTAACTCGTTGTCCAGTCGCCGGATGTGGTGGTCGATCAAATCGTAGCTCTGCGACGCAATAGCGACCTTCTCATCCATCTTCTGTACGACCAGGTGCCGCTTCGCCTTTAGTTTCGCCAATGGGCTGTTGTCCAAGTCAGGGGGAACGTCTGCATCTGCTGCATCGTCCTCAACTCCTACCAATGCCCGAAGTTCTTCCTCCGTGGGTTCAGGCAGGGTCGTGTCGGCGCATCGCACTCGGACGCGCTCCCTCGCATCGCGGAGGTACGTGCTCTGGGAGTCACGCAGGCTGTCGAGGAGTCCACTGGTTGCCTTGTCCAGCTCTCGCATGAGATCGAAATTGCGCTTCACCTCCGACGGGAGCATGTAGATGCTCTCGAGGTAGTCTTCCAGGTACGTTCCCATGCTCAACCTTCCTTACCTTTCCATCCAACAAGAAACAAACACCCTGTAATCTAGTTCAAGGGATATCATTAGATTACACAATGCATAGGTTTATACAGGCTAAATGTATCCACATCCAACATCAAATCCGATGTAGCATGTTTAGTTTCCATCTTTTATTCTCTTATAAAGGTTATGTGAATGTATGTCCTCGATTTATACTATGAGTACACTCGAACGTTTGAAATCATATTAACTTCCACAAGTTATGTATTTCGCAAAATATTTTTCGTGACGTTGGCGCCAAGAACTTTTTCAAATGTTCCATACTTTTTCCATTATTACTTGCCGGCGACAGAATCGATCAAGACCTTGTATCCTTCGTCCAGCGGCACGTCCTCGTTCAAGAGGGCGTGGCAGATGACGGGGATATCTGCGTGAAGGTCTAGGAAGTCGGCGAGGAACACCAGCAGGTGGAAGTCGCGCAGGGCCGCCTTGTAGTCGCGTCCATACTTATGCAGAATCTGCTTGAGCATGGAGCGGGTGCGCATGCTGCCTTCGCGGTGCAGCGGCGGGAACTCGCAGTGCAATGCTGACTCGTACGGTTGAACCGGCACCACGCACAGGAAGAAGTTGTTGTCGATCTCGTTCGTCGCCTTCATCTCGACCATGGCCGTGAAGGTCTCGTGCACGCCCATTACCGTCGGGATGGCTTCCACGGGTACGAGCGCGCCGGCACTGAACATTTCCATGCACTGGTCGCTCACCTGGAACGCCTCGAATGACGCCTGGCCGGTCGCGTCCACCGTCACTTTGACGCTTACAAACGGGGAGGACGCGCCGCCGGCGGCATCATCGCACTGTAGCTGCGACGCCAGAAGGATTTCCCGCGACGAAAAGTGAAAGTCCGCTTCTTCGCGGGGAGGATGGCTGAAGATCCACCCGACTTTGGACCAGCCGAGCGCCGCCGCCACCACGTCCGCCTTGTCCGCATGAGGGTCGTCCATGACCTCAAATCCGTGGAGATTACCTTCCTGGGGCGGTTCGTAGATGCACTCGACCGTCACAACGCCGTCAGCACCCACCGTCCCGTACAACCACCCACAGCGGCACTGTTGGAACGCAAAGTTGCGCAGGTAGCTCTGAAACCCGTTGCATGACGCGGCGTCGAGTCGAACGGCGTTGCAGTGCGCAGTCTTCTGGGCCTTGATCTTGAATTCGAACTCGGAATCCATCTCCATAAACTCCCCTAGGGTCCAATGCATCTTCATGTCGCGCAACGCCTTCATGCCAGGACGAAACCCGGTCTTCCCCAAACGCGTGTCGTACGTCGCATGGGTGAGAGTGCCATCCGCATTGATCTTCCGATGGACAACTCCCCCCGTGGATATCGCATCACCGTCGAAGTCGAGGTGCAGCATGTCACCATGTCCTACTTGCAGGGAACGGAGGGTGGTCGTGTCGGCCAAGCCGTCACCCTTGGGATCGCGAGATACATGCTGCCGGGCGACAACAATCGCATACTCATGCTCCACCCACTTCTTCACATCCAAGATAGTCGATGCGGACGTCAGATCCGGCACGCGCCACGTCCCCGCTTTCGACCGCAGGCGGATCAACATGAAGAAATCGATTGTGGGTTGTACGGATACAAATTATCCGGTGTACCCCGAATCGTCGAATCCGACCGTTGATTGATTGGCTAATTATTTGACAGAGTTTTGTCAAATCAAATGTGACATTGAGTGACTCTGAAAACGAATACTCGGGAGAACTACTATTAATACAAGTAACCACCTTGCCACACATATACAGTATTACTCAAAAATAGGAATAACGTTATTGTCGATTTGATACTGCGAAGTACAAATTTGGGGACGGGGTGCAATCGAATCGCGCCAACCAAACCGATCCACAATCGATCTGATTGGTTGAATTTCATTGAGAAGGTTTTGATTGGCTAATAATTTTGAGCTCATCTGAGGTAGCCAATCAGATCGATTTAAATTCCAACTAGAAACCACACCACAATACGAAATTTCACTCGAAAGCACAATATGTCCAATCAGGTTTTAAAGAATTTACAGTCAAGATAGTATTGTGGATTCGATACGAATTTCCAGACCCCGTCGAATCGAATCACGAATCGACGCTATTGGCTAATCCATTTTTGAGTGGGTTTGATTGGCTCTTGCAGGAAGGACAAGGATATTCAACCAATCAGAACTCCAGTGTGATTCAATATTGATTAGAATTCACAATACTTCGAAGTATTTTCTCATTGGGATATCTCGTCCATCCGTTAGGGCGTGTTTGGAGCGACTTTTGTGTCAGCGGTTTTTGGAAAAGTAGCCAATCAAAATCGTTTCCATCGGCTTTTGCAAAAACCGCTCTGGACGACCTCCTTGAGGTCGTTTACAGCGACTTTTGGGATTGTGGCTATTTATTGGGCAAAAATATCAGAATAAATTGTTGGTTGCAAACCAAAATTTCGCAGGAGCACGCCGCCCAAAGCACACCCTTGTCGGTTGCCGGTGGTTCGTTACTCCACTCCGGTGTGTACTGGTAGGTCCTCGACGGGATAACTTTACCCATGTGAAGCACGGCTGTGGTAAGTCATTTCCATGTCGAGGGTAGCTGCACACAGAACGCATCGAACGCTGTACACATGCCCCTCCCGCGCGACCTCCTATTTGTACTGAACCCTAGGCTCTGTGTATTGTAAACTGATTTCAGATTAGCTAGGCGTTGATCTTATGGGTTGCGCATGCCTAGAGTTAGCAGTGATGACTGCACGACTCCTTCGGGAAGGAGAAGGAGTCGTGCAGACGCACAATCGTTTGACTTTTCGAGGGGCTTCATTCGAGTAACGAGCATTGCTTATAGCACCAATCCTCGATATCTTTCACTAAAGACTGCCGTGTAGGAGCTGCGCATCCACATTCCATGGACACAGATCCTGTCGCAGCCCATCGAGATCAAGCTGTACACGGTAGAGTTGATCCTCAGGTTGAAACACATAGCATTGTCGGTCGGTTTGACCTTTACCTGTGCGCCATTAGCGTGGCAGTCTATATTTCCAAGCCGCCGACTTACGACTGACTTGCGTAGATACATAGTTCTAATGCGCTATATCTACTCTACGTCGTTTCGCCACTCGCCGCCTGAACATTTGGCCACCACAGCCACTACGCGACAACAATTTTCTGCGCTCCGCTGTCATAGAGCTGAAAATGTACAATGAATTTTAGGACGCATCATTGGTTGATTTTTCTCTGTTATTAACCAATGTCAGTGAAGGCAAAAAGTCGCTGATATTTCAGCGGCTTGTAGAAAAAGCCAAAAACCGCTGACACAAAAGTCGCTCCGAACACAAACTCAAAACTACTGTAAACTTACATCGTCGTTGACAGATTCGCGGGCAACACTGCGATGATATAACGTTAGTACAGTGTACGCATATTGAAGCTGTGTGAACCTGGATTTGAAGCTAGGCGACCAACAATTGCCATGAACTACATATGTACCGGTGTAGTACCGCACGTTGTTGAGCCACCAGTTGAAGCAAGGGATGACAATAATTATTTGTCGTGAGCGAAATATATAGCATACTTTGGTAGATCTCAGCAACAACGTTGGCACGTGGAGTAGCAGCAGTGCTAAACCTGATGCGGCAGTCTGAGCCCGTGGTCTTATTCGAAGTTGGCATCACTGTTACTGTACCATAGCTGTGCAAGTAACAATCAGTATTGGCTTCTCGCGGCTCTATTTTATTGCATAAAATGGACTGGCAACACTTGCTTATGGGAAAAATGTCTCGGAGAACAACCTCAATCCAAGCCCCAACCCAATAGGATCTGTACATGTTCCTCCATGTAAGAGCCCAACGGGTGTCAAACGAGTTTGAGCAATCTGCTTGAGAAAAAATGTAGCACTTGACCAGATCACTCTTGTACTAATATGTGGACACTTTGATCAGGAAATGCCAAGTGGAGCAACGGAATTGGAACAATTCTACTCAGCAACCACTAGACTTTGCCACGTCAAAATTTCCAACTTTGCTGGATGCTACGGACATTTCGCAACCAGGTGTACTGTAATTTGCATCAAACGATCAGGATACACTGAACAAGTACTACCGGTACTACTTGAGGTACTAGAGTCCAAAAATGCTTGTTCAGTTCCAGCGTCCTTTGCGCGCGTGTAGAAGTGCCGATGTGAAATACTAGTAACGATTTCGAACAACCGCCTAATCAACCCACAGTTACAGTAGCCATACATTTAGCGTCACCTTTTCCCAGTTAGTAATACAGTGTATCACTTGGTATGGACAGAGTTGCACGGACAGTGGGAGGATTAGGCGGAACGTGATGTTGCAGAATCATTGTCCGTGGTGGTAAGCGCCATGTCTCCTCGCGTAAACCATTGACGCTTCTCCAACTTTTACCCACAGTACAAGTAACGTTAGGGGGGTTTCGGGGTTTGATTTTTGGATTTATATACCGGTAAATAAATCCACAATGGGGTGGGTGAGTTTTATGAGTATACATACAAACACTCAGTCTAAAGTGATAGTTTACAGGGCATGTGAGATTAATAATGGTTTTCCTATCCGGTTGTTTCCGGCTTGATGATATTCGACGGTGACGACGGGGTGCTGGTGAAGTTCTCGAGCACGTTCATGAGATGCACCGCGTACATCTTGCGCTGGTCGGTGTGTGTCGCCACTTGTCTGTCCTTGAGGCGGTCCACGGCCGTGGCGACGCTGTCCGAGTCCACGTTGAACACGTTGGCGACCTCTTCTACCGGGACAAACCCCGTCTGGGTACTGGGATGTTCGATCGTGTAGTACGTTCGGACGCGGGTGGTCGAGGGTCCCGTGCGGTCTGCCACGAGCCACTGCTTGGTGTTCACGGTCCACGTGGTGTCGTCCAGCGGATGGGCTTCGTCCATGACGGTCTTTAGGCACAGCATGGTGCGGTTGTCTTCGTGGAAGCGACCTTGGATGAGGTAGTCGGCGATGCTCTGGTTGGCCGGACCCACTTCTTCGCGGGCGTACTCGATGTCCTGACCTTCGTTCACGAGCGCCGTGTAGTTGTCGTCAAAGTCTCGCTGGAGGTAGAACTGCGCGAACGTCTTCTCCGCCACGTAGCATGCTTGGGACACGTCTTCCAACCCATATTGGACCGTGAACTGGTGCATCACGCGGGTCTCCAGCACGCCTTCATGCACCTCGACCACTTCAACATCCACATATTCGTCGTCTTCATCCGGATAAACCAAGTGAGCCAGTGCGCGATCAGCATTTCGGTGCATATGGCGGATGACCCACGTGATGCCGACATGGCGGGACGCGTCGTCGCCGGCGAAGAGCGTGGACTGGCGCCATGAGTCCTGGAACGCATGGGGGACGGACGAACGGGGACTGTTGATGGACGCGATCCATCGCTTCAGGAACCCGTACATGCGGTGGTTGTGCTCGACCTCCTTCTTGAGCGATCGGTTGTCTCGCACCTTGTCGAGTGTGTCATCTTTCAGGGCCTGCGCGATGTCTTCCCACGGCAGCAGCGACGTCTGGCATCGCTTGAGGGTCTCGATCTGGCCTTGCAGGTCGTAGATGTGTCGTTTATAGAACTCGAGCTCCTTGACCCGCTTCGTCTTGATGTGCGACAGGCTGTGGTACAGCGGGTGCGCTTCAAAGTCGAAGTCGTCGGACGCGGTGGGACTGTGGAGTGCCACGACTGACGGCGGGTGCATCAACGGAGGCGTGATGTACTCGAGCTTGCGCTTCTTCATCACGAGCGGCTCCATGAGTGAGTACGACGACGTGGAGAGTGCGGTCATGGCTGCGAGTCGTAAAGTGGAGCAAGCTGGACAACGAGTTACCAGTAGTTGCTTTGACAAAGGAACTTACCACTCAGTTCAAGTAATGCCCACACACAGATGCATCTTTCTGAGACCATCCCGACAGCCACATGGGTTGGGCCAGATGGCTCGGGTCGCCTTAGTAGCCAGACTTGACGAGTATAGTAGTAGTACTAGTACAGTATAACTTACAGTTAGTAGTCATTTAATATATGTACTACCGCTTTTACAAGCCACCATACTTTAATCAAGATATGTGGACTTAATATAAAGAAACCTTCCAACGCGATGTTGTCCACGTAAATGAAGTGCATGGCCACGCCGTGTATGCGACAGCAACGAAATGGCATAATTTTAAACTATTTACCACCAGGTTTAATACATTTTCCTATATACACACCAGCTTCAACGGGTGCATATGAAAACGAGTGTAAATATGCATAAATATTCTCTTTTGAGCACCACGAGTTTCAAAGTACAGTACGGAAAAGTGTGCAAGGGCCGCGAGTAGCTTCGTGTCAAGATATATACAATCGTGATATAAACCCAAGGAAAAGCTAAGCAAGCTCCAGGTTTATTATACTGAAGTACTAATTAGTGAATCGAACGAGTAATACAGGCCTGACCGGCAGTTAAATGCAGAGGTTCGCTAGTACAACAACAGGGCGCTGTTCGATAGGTTTTAGATGTCCAGATGACGATTTGCAATGCAAAACATTTCCAAAATTACAAATTCACCACGAGGAATTCAGACCAAGTGGAAATGCGATGTTTTGCCTTCAGGTATGTACTTTATTTATATTAATAGCAATAATATTTATATTTATAGCACTTGCCAGCAACGATTTCGTCATGCTTGGATGTAAAATTATACGTATACAATCTGTACCGGTACTGTTCATAGTATTCTCTCTACGAATCGGAAGAATCAATTGTGTCTCTGATCCCGGTATAGGTACCCCGAAACCCCGAGTGATTCCAAGGTGTTTACTTCGAGACACTAACCAGCTAATGTGATGCACTCTACACCATCCTTAGTGTAATGCAGAGTATCACCTCTGTCAAGGCCTATTGCGACAGCTTGAAATCAACGAGCTTTTTTGGAGATTTTCTGTCTTTTCGTAGATATATATATATTTTTTTTTGTGTTTCTTGATGATGTGTCATTTTATCCAGATAACAATCCGCGCCCCCAGCTGGTTTCGTCGATTAGTATACCACGGGGTTGATGTGTGGACAGTGCCACTGTCGAAATGTATCTTGATGTTTGTATAGCATACTGAATCCAAGTCCAGTGCCCCCACGTACGTCCATGACAATGTTCCAGGCATCCCACGCAATCGCAAAGAAGCCGCGGCGGCGGTGGCACCACCGATGACAGAAGTAGATCTGAGATACAGTATACTAGTACTACTACATATGTCCATCTATCATGCCCAAGGCAGCAAGCACCACCACCACCACGGAGCTCTGTACAGGCTGTACTATGTACGTGTTATCCGTGGTAATATCTGGCTCTACTTCTAAAGTCCGGCGGGGGTGGTGCATCGAATGAGACTGGTCAAGTGATCAAAGAAGAGTTGCCTCTGCCGAACATGGGCTCGGTTGAGGAAGGCGCGGACATGGCCCGACTGGTGTAGATGGAACTCTGTCGCCATCTCGTCCGCCGACACGATTCGACCGGCGGCGGTCCGCGGGTGATCGAGAGAGTACACTGTCCGCACTCTTGTCGTGAATGGCCCCACTGGTTCCGCCACGGTCCTGCGACGACGTTTCAATCATCATTCATTCCACCATACATTGATTCATTCTTTACTGTACCACAGATGCGCGTCCAGCACCCACGCCGCGGCATCTTCCTCAGGAAACGCTTCATCATGCAGAATCGTTCGACACACGACCGTGGTGCGGGATGGAGTGCGGAACTGGCCATGCAGCGAGTGGCTGCGGATGTTCTGCTTGGCCATGTGCACGGACATCACTTGGCGGTCATATCGAAGCGCGGCATGTTGCACTGCATGGCGATCCTCGAAGAACGTCGGCGCGTCCTGCCGGTACGATGTGAACGAGTTCTCGGCTAGCCAGTACACATCGGACGCTTCCTGGAGCGGCAGGTCCACGGTGTACTGCACCATGCAGTCCACGCGGAAAAGACCGCCGCCGCCGTCGTCATCCACGGCCACATTCACTTCCACGAGGGATTCCATGCTGTCGGGGAACGAATGGCGCGACATGGCGCGATCCGTGTTGTGGTACGAGTGCTGCATGATCCACAGCTGCGCCGTGCGTCGGATGTCGTCGTCCCCTTGGATGAGGTGGGAATGGCGCCACGTGTCCGCATGCGGGTTCAGGGTCCTCTACGGTACATCATGACGTCAAAGGGGAATCGGAATCGTGGACACGCGCACTTGAGGTGGTGGAAGCAGCATGGCCGTCACCCATGTCTGCAACACAAGGTTCACGTGTTCCTGTCGCTGGAGCTGCCGCTTTAGTGATCGGTGGTCTCGGACTTGATTGAGGGTGTCTTCTTTGAAAGCCAGGGCGATCTCTTCCCATGGGAGGAGTGTGGTGCGAGACCGCTGGGCTCGAGTGAGCACTCCTTCCAAGTCGTACACTTGTCGTTCGAGGTTCTGGAGACGCTTCTTCCGGCTGAGCTTCTTCGCCTTGATGCGTTGGGGAGGTTTGGCAGTCGAAGGTGGCGGCGGCTTCTTCGTCGGCTTCGTGATCGGGGAGATCAATGCATCCTGCATCGCCATGGTCGTCGCTAGCCTTCGCCGTGCTTCGACGACAACGAGAATGCATCATCATGACTGTGATTGGCCCATTGCCAGCTTCAAGGAGTAGCTAGTAACAAAAGAAGGTGGAATTACGGTCGACATAACTTGGTCGTGTATTGTTATTCTCATCGTGCCATCAATTGTAAACAGTGCTTGCATCATCCAAATGGCGGCGTGGGTCGTGTGGGTTGAGAGGATAGGCGGCTCGTTCAGACTCCATACGATCCTACACGGCCCCGTCCGCGCACGGACCCATGCTCATCGTGAGCTGCGGCACCACGCCCGACGCCAGGCACGTTCAGCTGAGCTGATATCGTCTCACACAAGGTCGAGATCCTTCTGCACGATGCTACCCATCGGCTCTTTGGGTGATCGATGGAGTGCGCACTCGTGTCGAGTGAGGTCACTTCCGCATTCCTGCGCGACTACGTTCCACGAAGTACTGGATACGCACCGCCGTCTTCACGATGACCGACCGATGGTGACACTGGAGTGTGCGCGTCACATCGTCGAATGACCGTTTCGACCCCCATGCCTAGCAACTTCCCCTGAAGCAACCCATTCATCGTTCTGGTACATGGCGGCACTTTACTATGGAGGAGCGCTCGAAAGCGTTGGCGCTGCCGATGCTGAGCCCGCACGAGCTCTTACTTGGGTCTCGTGGGGAAGTGGGCGTCGCACAGCAGCAAGCTAAAGGCGGTGGCGATCTCCGCCACAGGCACCAGTCCCGCGATGGTCTGGGGGTGGTCGATGGAGTACACGCGCGGACGCGAGGGAGTCCTCCAGCACCATCTAACTGTAAGATCCAATGATCATCCGGATAAAACCACTTTGATACTGTTCTACTGCTGAATGCGTCGCTCGAAATAACATAAAAATTTGCAGTGAAATTCAAATTCTGTGCTCTACGACGAGAATGGATTGGCTAATATCCAAACATTTCAGCCAATCAGCGACACATATATTAGATTGACCAATGGGAGTGCACCAATCAAGAATCGTTCAAAATAGTGTTTCCCGTTTCCCCGCACTTTGGAATCTCCACCAGCGCCAGCAACACCTTTTCCACAAATGCAAGGTACAAGCGCCGCTGCCGCGCATGTCCGTGCTGCAGACGAGCACACAACCGCTCTCGCATTCTCTCGTCGATGGGGATCTGCATCGCATTCGCCAGCGTTTCCATAGGTACCGTCCCCGTGCATGTCTCGGGATGCTGCATCGTGTACAGCGCCCGCAGTCGAGTCGTCGTCGGTCCCACGCGCTCCGCGACGTACCTGCTCGAGGATTGACGCAGGAGTTACAACAAGAACGAACGTACCACTCGCTTGAGTCGAGGATCCATTCGGTTGTCGACTGCGACGGGAACGCTTCGTCGTGCACAATCGTGCGGAACACGGTCGTGGTGGTGTCCCGGTCTTCGATTTGTCCATGCAGGGAGTTCTTCTGAATCCTCTGCCGTGGAGAAGGGTCTTCCTCGCGATGATAAATCACTCGGACGGCGTCGAGGACTTGGATCTGGGAACGCGTGGGCATCCTTCGGTCCCTGACGTAGTCGGTGAAGGTGTTCTCGACGACCCACAATGCACGCGAGAATTTGTGTAGCGAGTGGGGGAATGTGCACTGCACCGCTCCTTGTATCGTCATGCGGTTATCGTCGACGGTCACGGCAACGTCTACGCAAGTCTCCATGGTGTCGGGAAAGACGAAGGTCGACATGGCGCGTCGCGTGTTGTGGTACGCTTGCTGCACCATCCACGTCTGGGCTTGGTGTCGCGCGTCGTCGGATCCTTGGAACAAGTAGCAGTTCCTCCATGTCCCAAGCTCCGAGCTGAGTGTTCGCTACAACCCAAGGGGGGCATGAGGTGGAGCGACTACTCGTAGGTTGCGTACCTCTGGAGGGAACATGGTATGTATCCAAGCTTGCAACGCGACGCACAGGCGCCGGTGTTGCTCCACGTGTTGACGCATCACACGATGTTCGCGCACATGCTCCAACATGTCGTCTTGCAGTGCCTTCGCAACATCTTCCCAAGGCAACGCCCCATCATGCGAATGATGTTGTCGCTTGGCTTTCCCGAGCATCACTTCCAAGGCATATACGGACCTCTGGAGTCGCTGAACCTGCATTGCCGGCGTCCGTCGTCGGTGGTCGGTCGACAGCCCCATCATCGAGGGATTGAAGTCTGGGAAATAATATAAATACAACTACTGATATTAATTATAAGTGATCCGCTCAAAATAAGTTCATATTTCGTTGAATGGCATAAGATGAACGTTTCTGCCAGGATCTTCTGCATGCATGAGAGAGACGAGGTGATGTTGCTCGGGACGACGAAGGCCACGGCGACGACGCTTGCACGCATGCTCACGAGACATGGATTCAGTCGCGTCGGCCGTGCACTCAAGCACGCCGTCAAGGATATGGCCATCGAATCCCAGTCCTCGGTTCAAGCTGGTCCCAGCATCACGCGGGGCTGCCTAAGAGGTCGAGAGGTACATATTGATATGCTGCGTCAGAGTTCTCACAGTCTTATAGTACGCCTTAACAAGAGAACGCGTGGACACATCTCAACAGAACCAACTACACTCTATCTACGCCCGTGCAAACACACGAGGACGCGATCCAAATGGTCGAGGAACACTTGTCTCTGCTGGAGATGCATCCATTCGATGCGACGACGGACGGTCGCCACGTCGAATGCCGATGCGCCCACGGCCCTCCCCACCGCCGCCACGGACGCCGGGCCGTTCTGCGACACGGGGTGGCCGATCTGGTACAGCGACCGCACGCGCGTGGTCCGCGGCCCGACGTGCTCCACTACCGTCCTATCCCGTCTTCGTCATAACATGACGTCATTACTGCCACATAAGCATAGTACCATTCCTGCATGTCCACAATCCACTGGTCCGGGGCGGCCGCGGGTGCGTCATCGTCGTGCAGAATCGTGCGGAAGACGATTGTGGTGCGATCCGGCTCATGGAACTTCCCGTGGAGACATTGCTTGCGGATGGGCACGATGACTTCGTCGTCGCAGCCGTACCGGACATCGCCCTGGGTGAGCCGCCGCAGGTCGTCGGCGGGGGGCAGTCGCGGGAGGTGGCGATGGGTGGGGAAGTGGTTGTCGGCAATCCACGCCGCTTCCGAGACCTCGTCGAGGGAGTACGGCACCACGCACTGGGACATGGCCATGATGTTGAACTGGAGGTCGTCGGTCACGTCCACCTCGGCTTCCATCACCGGGTCGGCCGTGTCGTCGGGAAAGTACATGCGCGCCATGGACCGATCGCGGTTGAAGAACGCATGCTGGACGATCCACGACTGGGCCATGCGACGGGTTTCGGCGTCGCCAGACAAGAGATGTGAATGTCTCCACGTGTCGACATGGGCGTCTAGCAGTTTCTATCGGGGATGATGGAATCATCAAGCAATGCCGACGAGGGTTACCTCGGGCGGCCGCATGCTCACGACCCACGCGTGCAAGACTTGGTACATGCAACTCTGAACCTCCACCTGGCGCTTCAGACTCCGGTTGTCCCTCACCTGGTCCAGCGTATCATCTTGGAGAGCCTTCGCGACTTCTTCCCACGGTAGCAACGTGCTAAAGTTGCGCTTGGCTTTGTCCAAAACACCTTCCAAGTCATACACACGTCGTTGCAGGAAGAGCAGTTTCTGCTTCTGGCTTCCCTTCTTCGATCGACGGACCTCCAACCGCCGCTTCTTCGCCATCGGCGATACTACAGGGGGCGAGCTCATCGCGTCTTGTGGCATGCGGTGGGTGGGTGGTGGTTTGGAATTGGGCTGGTTCTCATTTTAAAGTGTAGTTTCCGGAAATATCTCAAAATTGTATCCAGATGCTGCGTTTTGCGAAATAATTTTCAAGCCAGTAAGCGCACTTAAAAGATGCTATCGCACTTAACATGACGCTGGCTCATCGAAATACTACTTCCTCTGTTCGACTTTACAGCCCGGGACACACACTTCTCAGCGACCCCAAAAATTCATTTATTGTCCAAATTTCATATGCCATATCACGTTTGAAAGAGAATGCAAAGATGAAGGTATTTTCCTTTGGCTGCAAAGCCTAAAATGAATTCGTCATCCATGTTCCACGCAATAATTCAAAATAATTAATTTTCATTAAAAAATTACGGAACTTGCACGCATCGATTGACATGGACCTTGCGCAAACACAAGAGCTCACGTACAAGAGAAAGATGGAGGTGATCATCCGCCTCCATCAACTCACGATCCTTGGCAAGCTGCCGCGTGGTGCCTTCACGTCAACAGCCACGCACTTCAATCTTCATCGAACCACTGTGTCCAAAATCTGGAACTCATACTCGACCAACTGCATGATGCCGTCGTCCAAGCTAGGCCGCGTCGGGCGCAAGGAGGTCTACGATGTGGAAACAGTCACGGCCCGTATCGCAGTACTCCTGAGACCCAGCGATCCACTCTCCGTGACATGACTGAGGCCACCGGCGTGCCAACAACGACCCTCCATAAACACCTGAAAACCCGAACGATTCAGCGGCGCTCGTCAAGACTCAAGCCACTACTTCCCGATGCGAACCTCATCCAACGACTCGCATTTTGCCGCTCGCTGCGCTCCTTCCGCGCTCGCGAACAACCACGTCCAAGCCGTTGCCAGCGAAGCCGGTCTTCCTGAAACTTTAGAATTTAAGGGCATGTGGGACATCGTGCACCTGAATGAAAAGTGGTTTAATGCGGACAAGGATCGACGAAAGGTGTACGTTGTCAAGGGCCAAAGTGTTCGCAATCGAGTGTGCAAGAGCAAGCGCTTCATTCCCAAAGTCATGTTTTTGGCTGCCGTCGCGCGTTCAGATTTGATCACGAGCGTGGAGTTCGACGGGAAGATTGGAATGTGGCCGTGCGTGAAGTACCTTCCAGCTCGGGCAACCGCGCCGCCGGAACTCTGGTGACGACTTTGGTGAATGTTGATGGTGAGCTTTACCGTGACTACGTCATGACGCGTGTGATACCTGCAATCAAGGCGTGTTTTCCATCGATGAACAAGCATGTTGTGTTACAACACGACAATGCCACGCTACACAGAGTCATCACGGACGAAGTCCTTGCCTGCGTGTCGACCGATGGCTGGACGTTTGTTGTCCGCTCCTAACCTCCGAACAGCCCGGATCACAACATTTTGGACTTAGGATTCTTTGCTTCCATCCAAGCGCTGCGATATAAGTTTGAGAGTCATTCGTGCGACCCTTGCTGCGTTCGCTCTCTTTGAAAGCGACAAGTTGGTGGACGCGTTCCTGACTTTGCAAGCGGTCATGCGTTTGGTCCTCGAGAACAACGGCGGCAACCAGCTCCGTTTGCCACATCTAGGCAAGAAAGCCTTGCGCCGCCGGGAAACTCATGACCAACGTGTCCTGTCCATCTCATCTAGTCTAGGTTACCAGTGAGGTTTTTAACCAATAATATGCATGCATTGACATCATTAGCCAATAGTAGAGAAGTGTCGTCGTCGGTATTGTGGAAAAAGTGGGTTTTTGTAATGTCGGCAGAAATTCGAACAGAGGAAGTACCTAGTATTAATAGTAATACTTACGGATGGGATGACACATGGATGAAATCGATTATATATTGATATCATTGTGTGTTTCTGTGGTCAAGGTAATAGAATGCCTAGATTTTGACTTGGATGACATGCGACGAATCCTGAATACTACGTAGTAGTAGTAGATGTTTAAGGGAAGAATTTACTTCATGCCCGAGGTGGTTCATTTCTGTACGGATAATCAATATTCGGATGTCACCTGGTTTTCTGGTAGGTGAACACAATTGTTCATGCCTGGTACAGTCCAATGCAGACTGAACAGGTCGCTGTTGTTGCTGCGGCATATACGATATCCTTCGTGTGCGTTGTTGTTGCTACCATACTGGGTCGTGTGGACAAGTACAATGTCTTCACTATAACAACCGTCGACTTTGACTCTATGCTCGGCAAGCCACAGTTCAATCAGTGGTTCGAGACCAACCTCCGTTGTAGCCAAGCTACCTTTACTCAGCTTGTGTCATGATTTCGCGCTGTTCAGCCCGATATGTGCCATTGTACGACGCTGCACTCATTCGAAAAAAAGGTTGCTGTATTGCTCTACTTTCTTGGTTCCGAGGGTGGATACCGCGAAACCGTGCTGCGTTTGGCATGTCAAAGTCCTGGTCCGTGGAAACAGTAAATCACTTTGTCACTATTTTGGCTGCCCATGTAAAATCGTGGATTAAACAAACTCCCAAGGCTGCAGCAGACTGGGCCCAAATAGAAATGGAATTTCTTGCCAAACAAAACATCCCTCGTATTGTTGGAGCTGTCGACGGGACCCTGGTCAATATTTGTCGGCCAGATGATTTCGACGGTTTTTACAATCGCAATGGCGACCCCTCCCTCAACATCCAAGCTCTGGTCGATGCGAAGCTCAAGTTTTTGTCCGTGGATATTCGTCCTGGGTCGTATTCCGATTAAAAAAATTGGAAAACCTCAAAACTAGGTCAGACAATTCATGATTTTCATTCCGCTTCAAAATCGTTTCTAATGATTAATCGATAAATTTAGGCCGTACGAGCCGTGATAAAATACCGGTGGGCTGCTTTATCCTTGGCGACGCCAGTTACACGTTGTTTCCATGGTTGGTTACCCCATTTTTGCCACACGAAGAAGGTGGAAAACTGTCGAGTATGTAAAAGCATTTTAACGTTAAGCACTCCAGCACCAGAATGACAGTCGAATGTGCCTTCGGGCGACTGAAGAAACGGTTTCGAATATTGAAGACTCCCTTAAAAGAGAAGACTCCCGACCGCACAGTCTGCGTCGTCACGGCTTGCTTTGTTCTCCACAACATGTTCTTGCAATTTAATGATGGCCTTATTGACATTCCGTGCCCAAGGCGAGACCAAATTAATTACGTGCAACCCTACGACGAAGGCGATGGCGAAACGAACAAGTTCCTCGGAACGAGTGCGTTGTCCAAGAGATTATCAATTGCAAAAATATTGTACAGATAAATTTGATAATAGAGATTTTCAATTGCAAAAATATTGCAAAGATAAATTTGAAAATACTAAAGTCAACAAAACTTAATTGTATTTATTGCTGCTTCTTTGTGTGGGCAACCATGATGGCGACAAGCTGAGCCATTGTGTCCGACTGCGCCTTGATCGCATCCAGAACGTAATCCAACGTGGCACGTTGTGCAGTCTGTGCCGGAGGCTGCTGCACCATGGAGGTTCCCAAGAACATAAGTCCCTCCTTGATGGCATTATACCCAGATTCCAAAGACTCCGAATTGGATTTTGACTTCTTGTTTGGGCTGCCTTTTTTCGCCTTTTTTCGTTGCGGCCCTTCAGTCTTGCTTTGTTTCGGCCCTTCCGTCTTTATTTCTGGCGCGTCGACGTTTTCCACCTCAGACGTTTCTACAAAATCATTTCTCGTCAGAATAAATTGGTCAAACTAAAATCATTTTAAAAATCGGAATCAATTATCTCTCACAAAAATAAAACTTGCTCAAGCAAAAATCATGGAAAAATTCGGACTCAAGAAAATGGAAAAAGATAGCATGATACATTTATTGATATCGATTTTTGTTTCGGCGTTGTCATCATCGCTGAGATCGTCCGTACTCATCAGAGCTTCCCTTTGGTAGCAAGCTTTTTCACCCCAGTATTCCAACATAACATCGTAGTGCATTGGAATGGGCTGCAACGAAGAGTTGCCGGTAGGACTTGGCAAACTTGGCTTTGAGATTGACCACGTTTTGAATTTTGCAAACTAATCACTGGTGATAAATTAAAGTGTACATAAATTACAAAAATATCTGACCTTGTCCTGCACTTGCTTCGACGTGAATTCACGTTTCATGGCAATGCTAAGCTCCGTCGCAAGCATGACGTAAGCCACACGTTTCCTGTAGTTGTTCTTCGACTCAAAACGTGTGGCCAAGTCAGACTTGTAACGAAGGTCGAACATTTTTTCGACACTCGCATCGCACCAAAGTTAGGCCCTTTGGACTTATGGACGCAACTTCTTCGATTTGCGGCCCTGTGAGGGCACTATATAGAGGATTGTTTGATCCATGCAATTGACCACAAATCCTTGTGGTCAATTGCACAATGCTTGGATCGGTTTGACTGCCGAATTCGTCGTCGCTCATTCTACCCGACTGGACCCAGGTTACAGTGAAACAAGAATGTCTGCCAAAAGCAAGAATGGTCCATCTCTGTCTGGAACCACCAACTCAAACATGAACATTATCCGAAAACCGGATACCGCTGACCAATCATATTCATTTCGTTCATGCTTTTCAGACAGAGACATGAACAAAAACCTTCAGCGACCAGGCCCTAACGCAATCTGTCTTTTATATAACACAGACCTTTACTACATTGCGATTATTTATACTTACAGTAGTCGACAGCTTGGAGGGTGCCTGCCAAAAAAGAATCGTAATATAGAGTTTTTCTGACTTTCCACAGCATAGCTGCTTATTTAGATGCGGCCAATAAGAAGAGAGAAAAAATGTACTTCTCTGATTCTGAACTGTCCGACTCGCTACTGCTGCTATCGCTGTTGCTGTCGTTGCCGTCATTACTGTTGTCATCGTCGCTGTCACTCGCGTCGACTTCTTGTTGCTCCATGATGTACTCGGCCAGCTTGTTGAGCTGCCTATCGGCCTTGTGAATGCAGCCCTTGATGCTGTATGCCGCCAACTCAGCGAAAGCTTGCGTCAACCGTACATGCACGTCCTTGAACTTGGTATCTTGTGTGTACTGGCGTCCAACCTACCATTTATTTGTAAAACATTGTATTGTATATACCACTGTACTTGGCCTTTTACGATAGCCCACACCATCTCGATAGGTTGAAGGTCACTATGGTAAGGTGGTGTGTAAACCACTTCATGCCCTGCGGCACGCGCCAGCGTTACAACCTCGATGTCAATCTTATCGACATACACACTAAGCTTTTTCCATAGTGCAGCTTTCGTATCATTTGTGAAAGAAATGCCGTACGTAGTGCAAGCATTCTGTAGGACACTCTTCTTTTGTCCATACTTAGGTGTACCCGTAGGGAGACCTTTATGGTATTTTGCATTGTCCATTACTATAACAGCGTTTTGCAATCCAAGACCCCTTATTTCTAAAAGAAGTTTGGTAAACCAACTGACAAAATATGCATGGTCAAACATTCCGTGATAGTCCTTTGTTTCAGGTCTCCCAGTTCGTTTTCCCCCTTGAAATATATCTAAGCATAAGAGTCGGCTATCCATACAACCACTGTCTAGAATAGCAGCAATGAAACAAAATCTATTCACCTTTGTGTTTTTCTTTCACTTCAACATCAAGGTCATCACTCGGATCAAATAATGAATCATCCTGCCGGCTATAATGGTGATGAATATAACTCTCATCTAAATATATAACAGGCCGTCGGTTGACATCGCCCGATAAAACATCACACATTTCAGAAACATACATATCACGATGCTGAATATTATCATCGGACATGCGGAGGCCGAGGCCCCTCTTTTTCTTTCTCCTTTTGTAGCCCAGTTTTGCAAGCGCCCTTTGTGTCGAGCGGTACGCGGCTTGCGTGGAGGATTCCGATTCCGGATCAAAATCCAGGCGGTTTTCAGACCGCAAAAAGTGGGCAACGTCCTTGGCGACGGTGCGTTGTCGGTCTTGACGACGATGGCGGACGAATTCTTGAATAATCTTGGCCAGGTCGGACGTCACCGGCAGTCGTGTGCGGTGGTACATGTCCCGTGATGCTTGGGGCTTGGTCGTGGTGGTGCCGCGCTGGATGAACTCCTTCCACACTTGTTGGACTAGTTGCTCCTTGCGGCGCAGTAGGCGGGCGGCTGTGCGGGAGGCTGCCGGTGTTCCATCTTGGCGGAGAACTGCATTGGCCATTGTTATGTCGAGAATCTCGTTCTTTGAGACGTATCGGGAGCGAGTCTTCTTTACGTACGCAATGGCGCGGTCGATGTCGCTCGCTGGGTGGGTTTCCGTGGGCATGGTTGGTGTGTGATGCTGGTGTCGAGAATCAGAGCCAGTGGGGTTTTGCATGTGTAATGCTTGAAGTTTTTATTGGGTTTTTGCCTGTCCTTTTCAGCGATTGTATAGTGTGTCAAAGTGTATTTGGTATGAGGGTGAAATTTGACAGGTTTTCAAAATTTGAACAATGATATCTTAGGGTGTATGCAGTTTCAAGATAATATTGTTTTGTACATTTTTAGCGTCTTCGGAGCGCTACAGTTTTCGTATTCACCTTTTCTTGATTGTGTTTTTGTAGGAAAAGTTATGGCCAAAGACCCCTCGAGACTGTCGACCACTGTTAATAGGGAGAGTCAGTTTAGAAACTCTCCACTCATTTTCGATTTTCGCCCAATCTGAAAAGTAAGTAGTGAAGGCAGGAAAAGCAAGGGAGAGTCAAAATAGAACCAACCGTTTTCATCTATCCGTATCGGTATATTATGCTGCATTGCTGGCACGGCCAGCAATGGCACGGCCACGGCGGTTGGAGAGGTCGGCGATATTGGCCGACCTCGATGGCATGGTTCGAACGCTTGTGACGTGCAATCCAACTTTGTCGGCTACAACTAAGAAGGAGGTACAGAAGCTCCTAACCTTTCGATGTGCGCTACTTAGTTCTCGCTACATGTCTGCACGAGTGCCATTGGTTCGCTCACTTGGACAGCTTTCCATCTTATCACACTTAGCCATTGGTTACTTTGTGCAAAAGGTCAGAGTGTGTCAATCAACGTTTGCGTATTTAGTGCATTTGATCTGTGAGAATGATGTGTTTCTACCAACTAGCAATCACACACAACGACCAGTGGGAATGCAGCTAGCATGCGCCTTGCACCGTCTTGGTCACAATGGTACCGTTGCTTCAGTTGGTATGGTGTCGAGGGTCAAAGGTATTGGGAGTGGAACTGTGCACGTTTACATACAGCGTGTTATTCATGCATTTGTATCTTTGTCTCAATCGGAAATTATGTGGCCGAATTCATCTGAACGAGGCCAAATAGCCATGTACAATGAAGAACATTATGAGTTTCGTAACTGTATTTTGTCAACTGATGGCACACATGTTGTTTTATATCGCAAGCCAGCACTGCATGGCGAGGTATATTACAATCCTTCCGCGGTGTAAGCCGCTTTTCCGGGGTCGGAAACACACGGGGGACATCCGGGCGTTTGTTGGCTTTGCCATGCATGCATATATGGCGACATACATGGGGGTGTCGGTGTCGGCCTTGTGCAGTAGTCCGGCATTGACCATGTGTTTGATAAACTTAAACGCAAGCACGGGCATTGCTTCGGTTGAGAAATCCACATTCACGCCCACCGCTGCCTGCAGGTTGGAAACGAAAACCGCTCGCCATTTTGGGACGTACTGCAAAATCCTCTTGTAGCTAGGGTGATTTGATTTGACATCTTAGACATCAATTAAGTACCGTTGATTCTTCGCAATTTCAAGAAGGGACTGTGCGTCTTGCTTGTACCGACCGGCCATCTCCAGCGACTTGTGCCGCGATGCCTGCTGCATGTCAACGCCTGAGCCTCCACCCCATGTCGCAAGAAGCCAACCCTTCTTGCGGAGCCAATGCGTGGCAATGGGCCCGTGTTGTCCAGTTACCTTGGTGCAAACGTTCCGGCACTTGGTTTGGAACATTACTGGTGAATAGCACTTGGTGGTATCTTTGTCGTGAGGGAAGAGATAGTCTGTTCCAGGATGTCGTGACAAATGGATCCATGCCAGGACTGCGCGCACTGGCCACAGCTCAGGGCATTGGTCGTCGCGATACAGGGAGAGAACAATCCACTTCTTCTTGTCTTTCTTGCCACTAATTTGAACAGCCAGCATCGTAACAGTCCCAAATTCGTCCACCGACGTCAGAGGGTGCAAAAATTGACTGCACATGACGTCGATGCCTTCATCGACCCGAAAAGAGAGCCGGATGTGGAAGATCACCATGGTCCACAATTCCACCCCCCATCAGCTGGTTGGCTACCAGCAGGTACCTTCAGATGTCCACCAGCTCCAAGGGCTTGCACATCGATTCTGAGCTCGGGGTGTACAGCCACAGGTCATGCTTCCTGATGCGTGTCATGCATTTGATGAAGTCTTCAGAGAAACTTGCATTTCCCGTGCGTGAGAGTCGCCCTCGTCCAGCGTGGTGTGGGCATCCAGTGACCAGGATCTTGTCGCTGAACAAGCGATAACAGGCATCGCATTGTTCTTCGTATTGCCCATGCATTTTGCCTTGTGTGCCGCAGACACCGCTGAGCGAAGTTGGATCATGTTCTGGGGGTCCTTCCATTGGCCGTCGCACAACACTGGCTGCCCATCGACGTCCAACAGTGGGAGACCATCGTCATAGTGCAGGATCATCCTGATGGCACCTGTTTTGTACTTCAAGTATGCACACAAGTTCTTCACCAACATGGAGCATGCTGGGGATAGTCATGGCGCAAAATGAGCAGGGACGTGTAATCCCAAATAAGGCCGAAAAAGTACCACATCCCCGGTAATGCTTCTTGTACTCACGCTGCGAGTGCGGTTCAAGGACACGGATGCCAATGACTTGCTGTTGGTTGGGCGAGAGTAGTACATTGTGCTTGGCAAGTCATGATCATACCCAACGCTGCCAAGAATTCTTGTGCTCTTGAAAGCACCCTGTGTCCACCAGGAGGCTTGACACGTTTGGGTCGGGTCGCGCGTCCAAGCGCAAATGCATCGAGCGTCAACGGCAACGGCTCTCCATTGTATACCGCTTACGCTTTGGGCGCAGTCTCCTCGTGTTCATCATATCCTTCTATTAATACTACGTAGTAGTAACGTTATTTATACTACGTATTCGTTGAATAGACCACTCAATTCCAGTGTCAGTACTACGTTGTACTATTAGTAGTACTAATACTAAGGAGCGCTACTGCATACTACAGCCAGTAGTACAGTACTACGTTGATACTAACTGTAAGTTACTATAAATAGCACGACTATTAATAGTACAGTGTACTATTAATAGTTAGTACATAGTACATATTAATAGTAGTAGTACTGGGATACCTATTATTAGTACTACTAGGTATAGATATTGATATTAATACTATTACGTAGTACTGGTACTTCAGTATTAATAGTACAGTATGAATACCGACTCCATGGAAATACAGTACTACTAGTAGTACTAGTAAGTACTGCTACTAATAGTAGTACTGTATTACACTCCTGGAAATATTACTGGTACTAGATACAGTAGACTATTAATAGTACTAGTACGTACCCCACTTCAATTCGTACATCCGCATACAATACATGATACTACTGCGTTCCGTTCCTAGTACTACATACTGTACACACTACTAGTATACAGTTAAATATTGTGGTCCTAGTACTCGTACTAACTCCTTTGAACCCCCCTAGGTTAACGTTAACTGTAGATCATTGCATTCTGTTCAGCATCGTACAGTACATAGTGTCACCTACATGTACTAGTACGTACTTGTAGTATCTTCTATGTACTGCTGTACGTTGTAATGTACGTATTGGAATACTAGTATTAAGAAAGGTTCTACATACTGTATGTACTGTACTTTCTGTACAAATAAGAAAATACAGTCAAATTATACTTCTATTGTGTTTATGTTGCTTCTGCATTGTGTTTATGTTGCTTCTGCATTGTACTATGCTTACTAAACTATAGTCATAAATAGTGCATTGAATATCTTGAGAAAGCTTATTATGACGCACTTTGACGGTTACTTTTTTTACTTGATTAAACTATGCTATGTGCACAGATTGTATACCGCTTACGCTTTTGGCGCAGTCTCCTCGTGTGTTCATCGTTTACGTCTTCTAACGTTAACGGTATTACCACTATACTGTAATGCACTACTACTACGTAGTACTACCCCCGTGCCTTAATGTTAGTTAGATTTACCAATTACGTACAGCTTTTATCCGTTTAAAAGGTACTGAAATTTTTACTGTACGACCTACTTTGATCTAAACCTTTATATGTAGATAATTGTACTACAAATCAAACACAGTGAAAATCAATCATCATTCCTGACAGTTTTGTCCCATAACTTCAATGGTATTCTAATTAGTCCTCTCTAATGAGTGAATTCAAGTTCCTAATGATCTTTTCTCTATTTGGAATTATACAATAGTCCAGGAAATAACCTATTTGGCCGAGGTACACTTGTTAAAAGCTCAAAAAAGCCCAATCAATCAATCATTTCCGCACGGATTCGTAGTACTTCGTACTACTGTACCGGTAGTACTACAGTAGTGATGCTAACGTAAGCAATCATTGACTGGCCGAATTTTGATTATGTTTGTTTGGAGCTTATTTACATTTCTTAATGAAGTATTTACAAGCTGTCGTAGCTAGATAGTTTGTAGTCTGGATTTCTTTTGTATCACCTAGGCCTGTAGCTGAATGGTCGTAGCTACAACAATGACCTTTAGCTGCAAGATCGTAGCTACATTGATGTGTAGTTACAACGTCCTAGCTACCACACTAAGTAGTACTGCATGGTCTTAGGTACCACCATTTGCTGTAGCTTGATGTGTAGCTGCAAGATCGTAGCTACAATGATGTGTAGCTAGAACGTCCTAGCTACCACACAAAGTAGTACTGCATGGGCTTAGGTACCACCATTTGCTGTAGCTCCAAGGTCGTAGCTACATGGATTTGTAGCTACAAGGTCATAGCTACAACAGTGACCTGTAGCTTCATGATCGTAGTGCGTAGAGATGTATACAATGTAATGTACTGTACGTATACTATCTACTGTATGTTTAACTGTACATACCAGGTAAGGCATAGAATGTACTGTACGCATTACTATGTATGTACTAAACCTGTCCTCAGGAAAAGTACAGTCGTACTATCAAGACTAATCAGTCAAATTAGACTATTGTTGATTTCATTCCAGAATTACTGTAATTACTAAACGATGGTCATAAATAGTGCATTGAATATCTTGAGATAGCTTAATATGACGCACTTTGACAGTTACGATGAACTTGATTAAAGTATGTATTGATTATTTTGACGCATTTTGACGGTTACCTTGACTTGATTAAAGTATGTGTGCACAGACAAAAACATCGAAATCATCGCCGTGATCGCCCGAAATCTTCACCCTAACTCAGAGGAGACTGCGAACAACAACAACTTGATCGCTCAAAAACTCTACCCCTACGCAGAGGAGACTGCGAATACGGCACAGACCCCACCGACGACAACGGCTTTCCATGCAGCACAGAATCCATCGACGGCAACGGCTCTGCATGTGGCACAGATTCCACCGATGACGACGCCGACATTTTACGCAAAGTAAACTTATCTGATCCAATGATCTATTTACCAATCCCAATACACTGGGACGAAATCCATCCAATCGCATGAGAGAAAATAGTTGCTAGCGGGTTGGTATGTAGCTCCGTCTTGTTTGATCGCAGTGAGGTTTGGACACACGGCAGGGTTCAAGGCAGACAACCAAATGGTTCAGGGTTCGAGTCCCACCAAGTATGGTTCTTATTTCTTTCGAATGTACCCCAACCTGGAAATGCCGGCAACAATTGCCACATGGAATGAGGTCGCGGAGTTTGATCGCGGTGATGGGCGAGACAGGTGAAGGCGCGTCAGCCGATAGCAATGGCCGTCACCGACGTCATTGTTGGGGATGGGATGAGGTCGCGATGTTGGCAGGGTCATGGTGGTCGGAAGGCAGGTGGTGGCACGGTTATGGCGGTAGCAGTGGCCGTCATCACCGATGTCGATGTTAGGGATGGGGTGAGGTCTCGAAGTTGTGGTTCTGAAGGTGAACACGGGGTCTTGGTGACGCGGGTATAGTGACGGCTCTCTTGATTTCAGCATGAGATATTGCTGAGGGAAGCGGAAGTGGCTGTGACCGCTTGACTACAGAGAGCATGTTGCGTTGTTCGATGTGAAAGGCGAAGGCGGGGTCATGGTGGTAGCAGGGGCTGACTTCGACGTTGTTGCTGGGGATGGGGCGAGGTCACGGTCTGGGGTCGCGGTGGTAGTGGGGCTGTCTTCGATGTCGTTGTTGGCGATGGGATGAAGTCATAGTGTGGTGTGGGATCGCGGTCTTGGATGTGGCAAGTGGAGACGAGGTCATGGTGGTAGCAGAGGCTGTCTTCGGCGTCGTCGTTGGGGACTGCGATGTTGGATGTGACAGGTGGAGATGGGGTCATGATGGTAGGGGAAGTGGTACGGTGGTGGTGCTGGCCGTCTTGACGTTGTTGTAGGAGGTGGGGTGTGGTGGTGGTGGTGGTGTGGGAAGGTGCTCTGCGTTACAGTAGCAAGCTTCAGTACATGAATATAGGATAACTTTAGTGTGCTATATAAAAGCAAGTCACAAACCACACCTCCTCTTGAAACTGTTTTCGTTTCAGAGCAGACCTGAAACAGATTAAATGTTATGGAATCTTTTGATATGGCAAAACCTACATCGTATTAATATAATTAATAGAAAGATGTAAAACTGATGGCAATATTACTTTAATAATATTGGCTATTTTATACGATGTCCTAACTAACCAAGCTGTAAAAAAGCTGTTGTACACATATTATTGTTGAATGGTTATCATTCCCAAGAATTGAAACTGACTATATTGTGTTTGATTATCATGCCAAAATATGAAAAAAATAGAACTTTTTTAAAAATTAGATTGCTCATATGTTTCCCTAATGGACGGGAGCATTTTCATTATGACAACAGTAACGTTATACAGTACTATTATTAGTAGTAATTTCAAAAACATAAAAACATAGAATAGTAATTGACATCGTACAATACAAAAACAGATATTTAATGGATTCAATTGCGCTCATATATAATACTTCGAAGTAATAACCATTGCGCCAAACTGCATACTATACTTGCTCACATCACAGAATCCGAAAACAAGTGAAAATAGATACTCAAGGATTTCAATGGTACTCATAGCAAATATTCATTGTGCAAAAAGACACGCTAACGCTACAATGAAAACATGTACTAGTACTAGTACCTCCTCTGATCTCGACATTCAAAACATCTACATATCTTCGACTCCTGGCGCGAACAAATGAACAGTCGCTTTTAGAAATGAACCGTCCCTTTTACAAATGAGCAGTCGTATCCAAATCCTCCCATAATAAATAAACCTATGAAATCTTATTATTTTTCCTCGCGATGAAGTTTGGATGACATGGGATGAAAAATGGATGACGCCTGATAATTTCACGGATTTTGGTATTTTTTGTGAATACTTCGAAGTACGTCAAAGTATTCAGATCTCTGAAAGAGCTACTACGTAGTACTGTATTAAGATTATAGAGGAAATTTACTGTTTATTACGAGTCAACTTTAAAATGATGGTCATTCAAAAATAGGGAGTGGTATATCAGCCGAATCAGTTATACTTCAGTCTAACCAAAACTATAGACGCACAAGATAGATTTTTTGAGTTTAAACATGCCTTGGATGGTTCATGCTATACTATTAAGTCATGAAAAGCGTATATTATGACATCTCCGAAAAGTATATGTCACGTACAATAAACACTCAGTCAAAAAGTCGAATCTTGGCGAAAAAGTATAGACGCACTATTTAGTTTGGTTCCTTTTCGTCGATATTTGGCCAATCAGTGCTCGTTTAGAGTAATCTACGTGGTTACTTGAAGAAGAAGTACACACACACTTTGAGCCCAATTGAGAATGTTTGGGGGTGTTGGCCTGTAAAGTGTACGTCAACGGTCGTCAGGTCGAAAGTTGTGCCAATTTGAAGACTCAAATTTTGAAATCGTGGGAGGAAGTCGACCCCGAGTACTTTGCAAGTTTAGTCGAAGATATGCCAACACGAATGACTCAAGTAATCCTGCGTCGTGGTAATTGCATTGATAAATAGTTGTGCAATTGCAAATGTCTACAGTTTTTGGTCAGTCCTATTTTTGAAATTTTGCCTTTTCAACATACTGCTTAAGAATAGTGGCCAATGCGGATTTGGAATTGCAATTATCCATCACATCGAGCTTATAGCCGAGATACAGCAACCATCAAGGCATGTTTTCGTCCCGAACACGAAAAAGTCTGGGTGCGTCTATAGTTTTTGGTCAGACTGTACTTAGTAATAAAACTCGTTAGTCAAATCGACGGTGAAAATCAAGAAAATGAACATCATTGCATTTAGACAAATCAAAAGCCTACGTAACGTTACATTCTTCATGTCGCAAAATGCCCAAACGCCATAACAATTGAACCAAAACGAGATGGAAAACGCTCAAAAGAGCCAATCAAACACGAGATTCCGTGCCGTTGAATGCACCACTCAGAGCCAAATAATACGTAAAATTAGAAAAATCCCACCAATCAAAAGTCAAATCGACCTCTTTTCCTGTAACAGAGTAGTACGTGTTCACCATACAAATTATTGTTTTATATTATACCAATAGTTTTAATACCCAAGGCATACAAATTTCCACATAACGTTAGTCAAAATGTTGAACCTGTGAACTTCTTCGTCAACACACGCCACTTGATGGTGGAAACCCCGCAGTTGATTCTTCATCAGTGCATCAAGTAAAACATGCGTACGGATTATTTAAGGATATTGATAACGGCCTGTTCCAGTAGATATTTTTAGAAAACGAAAAAGTGGTTCCAAGTACAGTTTCCTTCTTTATTACCTCTTTTTCTGCAATTTTTTACGCAACTCACTATACCAAAAGTAGAAAAAGAAGTCCTTGACGTCTTTTTCTAAATCGTAAAAAAATAGGTAAATTGATTTTGATTGGCTGATGCTATTTATGAAAACTACTTGGAACTTCCCCTAAGGGGCTCGCCGGGGAAAATTTAATCCATGTCCGAAAACGAGACGTATCCGGAAAAAATATTTTCGCAATCCAAACAATGTCGATCAATACTTTTTTATTATTTTATTATAATGAGTGCCAGACATGAACGGACTATCCCAATACAAGAATAAGAGCCGGCTCTGCAAGAAACCGATTCCCAGTGTCGCGACAAAGGTGTAATGAACTTGATGAGTCACCTCCATTCTTGCCATCGTGAGTTCCCTGCACTGTAGGATGACCTCCAGAACAACCCCGATGTTCCCACCTCATTGGCAACCTGTGTGTCTGCAACGTCACGCAACCTGCATGGGTGAATCGACCTCCGCATGACCAAGTACTTGCCCATATCCACCGTGGAAGATGCCTCGTTCTGCAAGCACATCAAACTGGAGAACACCACCACCAAAACTGTCCGTGCCACCATGGTCGACTTTGGCTTTGCTGATGCTGGCAAGATCAAGAGCGATGTGGGCTCGTGCTCGACGGCTAGAGCTCAAACAGGACGGCGTATTGTGTGCTTGAGTCGTATTGCATAGACTGTATGGTACACACCCCTATGCTTACTTTCGCACCCATGCTGGATGAGAGCGATCAGACCGCCGCTCAACATTCCGTTCCTGGCGAACACGTTGCGCTTTTAGAGGCGAGAGATCAGTGACGTGAAGTGCTTGATGAGCACAACTGCTCAGTAAATCAATGCATGGCGGGGCTGTTGGGTGTCCCTCTTATTGGTTGTGCAAGCCACCGGCTCAATCTGGCGACAGTACGAAACTTGAAGCCCGACAAGTACCCAATCATCTCCATCCATCGGTCATGCTTCGTTGCCGCACCTCCAAGAACCTAGCCACATTGCACGGATTCAAACCGTCGAGGCTTTTGCTGCACAATCACACTCGATGGAGCTGGACATATGCCATGGTTAAGCGGTTCCTCGTCATCAAGGATGAGCTGGCATCTATCCCGGACATGACAGCCTAGTTTCCAGCACCGGGCGATGTCGACAAGATGGTGGAACTGTTGTTGACATTGGAGACTACTCAGGGTTACACCTTAGCCCTGCAACGGCACGACGCGGTTCTGAACGAAGCTCGTGCGATGTTAGATGCTCATATCGAGCATCCAAATCGGGATTTCGGGGTTTCGAGCAGTTTCCATCTATGCCACATGACGCTCAACAATGTTCGACGTAGGTAGAACACAGCGAACGCTTCGTAGTCCAATACTACAGATTGGCTCTCTTGGCTCGCAAAACATCCATGGCTTGCTTTGATGGGGAGTTCGATGGGGCGGTGGCCAGAGCTAACCAATATTTTATTTTTTACTTATTTATGAGGTTCTCATCGGCGAGTTATTTACTTTTGTGGAAGTCATGCACGTTGTATCTATTCACCATCGTGTCTGCAAAGAATAATTTATTCCCATGTTCCCCTCAGACGAATAACTTACTCGAATAATTCAAACACAATGGACAAACTGTATTATTAATCGATTAAGAAAAACATACCAGTAACTAGTTCCTTACTCCAAGGTGCGCATCATCGCTTGAACGTCTTCGGTGGTCCAAAAATGGATGTTCGCGCGCAAGAACATTTGTTCTTCAAAGTTCTTCGGTGTTATACTGCAGCGGCGATCTTCAACCGCCAACTTCGTAGCCGAGAAAAAGCGCTCGCTCATGTTGGATGTGGGGTGCATGAAGCGGCAATCCTTGTAAACGCTTAGGGCTCTCATGACCTTCTTCTTCTTCAGCGCACGCTCCGCCAAAGACAACGCCGGCACAGCAACACCTTCTTCGCTGCCTTGGCTTGCTTGAGAATCCCGTAACGCCTTGATGGCTTCAGCTTCAACGCTTCGCTTTCCAGCAGAACCTTGACAACGCCGTCTTCAAACGCTGGATTCTTCACAATGGCCGCGCTTCGGCCCAATCGTGCGGCGGCATCCGGATAATCTTCGATTACGGTATCGAAGATTTGTCGAGCGTCGAGGAAGGAGCAATCTTCGGATTGCAGCGCCAATGTAATCGCGTTGAGGTCTTCAAGCTTTGTGAGTAATGCGGTGACCTCGCGATCTTCAACAACATTGAGTCGTAAAACATCAATGTTGTTGTCATTAATATCAATCAAAAATGATTTGATTTCATTATACCGTTTCAACATACAGTACGTCGAACTCCAAACGAGTAGTGTTGTTCGTCTTGGCCACCAAGGGAGTTAGACAGTGGAGGCGGGCCGCCGGGAGCGTGAACCGTAGATTCGTCATCAAGTGATTGACATTGTCGATAACATCGGCGTGGTCTGCCAGCACGTCCGACATGAACAGGTTAAAGCGGTGGCTGGCATATCCAATCAACGGCACCCCAGCCCGACGAGCAAACGCCCCATTTGTAGAACAATTGTCCCCGATAAGTGCGATAACATTGTCCCACGTCTTGCCATACAATTCCAGGACAAATACCGTAAATTCGTAGTGGGCATCCGCACTTAACGACTCCTCGTCGTTGATTGGTGCAAATGCCAGTAACGTCCGCGTGTAGCCAATCGGATCGCTCGATGGAAATGTTGCAAAAATGGCAAGGTAGTGCGTTGACCCGTGGGACCACCCGTCATGGACAATAGCAAACTGGTCGGGGAGTTGACTGGCGATCGTGCGCTCTACGTGAGCGCAGAGAGCGTGCATGTACTTCATAAACGAAGTGCGCGAGATGGGGTCAAGCTTAGTGTATCGACGGGCCAAGGTGTTTGAAACGAACGAGAAGGGCAACATGGACATTGTGATCCAGTGCAACCAACCGTACACGGTGCTCACTAAGCGTGGGACCATGATATCAAACAGGGCAGTCGGAGCAGGAGGGTTCATCGCGTCAAATGTGTTGTACTCTGGGTGCTCCGAAGTAATGTGGGAGACGAGGTTCGAGTATCCACTTCCATTCTGAGCACGACGTACGCCACAACGGCAGGTCCAGTCAGTACTTCCAGGGGCATTGCGCGTGAAGAAGAGCTCGGCCAGTTGGCGCCCACGAAGGATGTTGGGGTTGGGTTTGTTCATCAAAACAGATAATGAATGTCAGCACTCAACCTTGAGTTCCGATGGCGTGTGGGCATCCAAACGTTTGAATGGCCACACGCCATTGGAACTGAAGGTAGGAGTGCCAACCAACGAATTATTCCTTTGTAATTCAATACTTATTCATTTCTGTAAGCTTTGAGTATAACCTATTTTCATGTTCCAGAAATCAAGGTTATTTACTTTCTTGGCACATAGTAGAATAATTGTTTTTTAAATAAATAAGTATATTCGCAAAAAAGTTATTTTTTGGTCAGCTCTGGCGGTGGCTACCACTCTGGTAAAGCCACTTCTCGCAGTCCAACAAGCTACATATATCCTTCCTTGTCCAATACCTTGACGACATCGTCTTCAAACTCCGGATTCAACACAATGCCGGCATTTCGGCCATGGACTTTATCTTCCCCGAAGGGGCTGGTCGGGGAAGATAGGGTGATGGCCAGAATGATTGCGTAGAAACACCATTCCATGTTTCTTGGAGGGAATAACTCCGGATTACAGTAGGCTCCTAAACCAGATAATAATGAAGCAATTAAATACGCATATGTTTCGGCGATACATATACAATACTACAGTTTTACTGACCAATTCACCAGACACGTCAATCCAAGTTTACATCAGTGAAATTTGTGAGCAATGGCCAAATTTCCAAAAGACGTCCACAATATTCTGACAGTGCCACAATGACAAATTCATTGGATGAAACGCAAGCCACGTCAATCATAAGAATGGTAGACGTCAGCTAAAACCGTAGATTATGATTGGCCCCCGCCAAGTCGTCCAAGGCGCGAAAACTCGAATCATAAAATGCAATCCTCCTTCACTTTCAATTGTTCACCATGGTTCTCAATGTCGCCGCGATGCTCACACGCTTGGAAGACCAAGCAACCTCCGACCGCGTCTCGACGACTACCCCGAGGTGGCTGAACACTAAGACAACATCCCCGATTCGTCATGTCCGGTCCTGGACAGAGTCAGCAGCGACTCCGGCGAAGGAGGCGTACGAGTCATGACGAACTTTACCCGGCGCGAGTTTGACGTTCTGTGGGCCGTGGCGGAGCTTCCACTCAAGACGCCGCGGGTCGATATCGAAGACAACACCAATGGACGCCCTCTTAATGACATTGACAGTGCTCAAGCACTACAACACTTGGGGGAAGCACACTTTGGACTTAGGGTTCAAA